CCTAAAGGCATCTTGAAACCTTTATTCCTTCTTGAACTTCAGTGTTAGAAAAAGGTTACAAGGAAAACATGTTTGGGTTTACAAAGCTCATTAGGACCAAAAGCACCCAAGTAAACACCAAGGTAACACTGAGGGCTCCAAGCATCCACTACAACCAGCACTGGGAGGAAAAGTAGCTTCAGGCACTTCTGGGATTGGAAAGAGATGGATACCTTTCATCCCTTTGCCAACCTCACCTTCAAGCATAGAGGTGAATACTAAACCAAAAGTGGGTCCTGGTAAGTGCCAATACAGGCCTGTCAAAGAGGTAACAGCTTTGAAAATAAGCCATGTCCAAAACAAGCAACAACTTATTCCCTTTAGCCCTATTTCATTTTCTATGCATTTCTCTTTCTATACATTTATTTACGGGCTCTCCCTTCTTTTTAGTCAGAAACAACACAGGAGCTTATGTGTGAAATCTTCTCTTGACCAGAAGATCCTTAAAGCTAGAGAGTGTTTACATAAGCCCAATGCACATATTTCAGGATCTTGGCCATTGCCTTGCAAGATTCAGAACTGATATTCACTAAAACAATACGAGCAAATAACAGTGGAGAGCTTACCACTTCTTAAGGGAATTACTCTACTTTCCTACAGAGAGCTGAGCACTCACAGAACCTGCACTGAGTAACACAGAATAAATGGGAAGAGCTATTTTCCATCACTTATGTATCAACAGAAAACCTTCATGCCGATCTAGTGTCCTGAGTCTCAGGCCTGCTTTTCACAATTTGATTCTAACTTATACACAATGTCAAGTCATTATAATAATTTATATAATAAATTTAAATAATGTTTATTTATATATAATAAATAATTTAAATAATATTTAGTTTGTAATATAAAAAATTCTCATCATTTTTCCCCTTTCCTATATTAATATAATATTTTCATTGTTACTGTCTGCATTACTCCAAATTCTGTCTTGCTTCAAGAGACAAGTATATTTGTCCCTTATTTCTAAACACTTAAGCACTGAACCTCAATCATAAAACACAATGTTAAAATTTTGTTATTCCAGCAGTGTTTCCTACATAATTATATATATTTATTTTCTATTTGGTCTTGCTTTATTGTCTACTTGTAAAAGTACCATATGGGCAAAAAGATCTCTAAGATTTAGTCTGAATCACTAGGACACATAAAATCTCAGTAGGACTCAGAAAATATGAAAGTTTAGGTAAGCTTGAAAAAGACACTTAGCCATCCATGTAGGTATTAGAGCAGGCCTCAAAGGAACTTCCCTCCATGTATCCAGACCTGTTTTACAGCAGAGCTATAAGTTATGTGATAAACCACATCAGATGGCCTTCAGGCACCAACTGCATTTCCAAGCTGGAAAGCCCCAGTTTGTGTGGTTCTTCCTCAGATGGAAGTTCTACAACTTTGATCACCCCTTTCACCTTGCTAAGTTATAATATATAATATATAATATATAATATATAATATATAATATATAATATATAATATATAATATATAATATGTATTATATATTATATATTATATATAATATATATAAAATATATATATATGTCTCTAAGTTATAGATATATATTAGGCACACACAAAAAAAGTGAAGACTGGTGGATTTTTATTTACTTGTGTTTCAAAAACTAGAATATTTTGAATATTTTTTTCACATCTTACCACAGATTTTAAAGGAAACACTCAGATTACCTTCATAATTGAACCTCCTGAAGTCATATCTGTAAGTTTGCACAAGGCTTTGATACAGGACCTGACCAAGGAGAAGAATCCAATGTACAGCAGATGGCATAAATACCCAGGCCACAACAAATGGGTTAGGAACACTCTCTCAGGAACATCTGTGAAAGATCTTTACTTAGTTCTTTGTATGTTAAGCACCGGCCATTTCTTGAAACAGTGAAGGAGATTGGTAAATTAATCGGTGTTTTGACATTTGCAAGCATTTTTATTGTGTCTTTACAAAAATTAAGGTACCCCTGACTTCAGAATACAACACCAAAGGATCAGTTTATGATTATTTAATTTAAAAAAAAAACGAAAACCCAACATACTAAGAGTAAGATATTAGCTTCTCCATATTCTTCTGCATCATTTTTCTCTCTGCTTCTTTACGAAAGGTGGGAGTTTTGTATCAGTATTAATTATTTGATATAAATGCAATGCTGTTTCTTTTATACCCACACATATATCTGTATCTGTAATCAAACATTTCCTCTGGTTCTAAAATTAGTGTGTAAAGTCTCTGTGCTTATCCGTTAGATGAGATGGCCTTCTATTTGTAAATATCATGGATCTTCAGGATTTTACTCTTTCTATATCTGTTTAAAATCACTGAAGTTTAATTCATAAAAGTCATGTATCATATAAACACTTACTGCTGAAAGTTCCCTAAGTTAAATCATAATAAGTAGGAATAGAAGTCTCATTCATATAAATATTTGTCATTAATAATAACAGATATTCTAACCTTGAGGGTTGGTGTCATTGTATATGTGATAGATAAAAAGTTTTCCCCTGCTGTTGGCATTCAGGTGGACTCATACATGGCAAGATATTCTGTCAGTTAAAAAAAAATAAATCTCATATTGACAAATGGAAACTCACAGAGATGACTGCCCATCAATAACATCATTGGAACTCCCAGGTCACTTCAGGTAATCACTGTTTTTTCTGCTAATATTCTCTAATATTCTAATGTGGTGATATCTGTAGTTTCTTTTTTTCTCTTGAACAAGCTACTTACAGAACAAGAATTTTTTCATATCATTCCAGTAATATGATTTCAATCAATAGGATAAAATTTGGTCTCGCCCAATGTTCTATTTCCAAAAACAGCAATAGGAAAGGCTGTTAAGGCACACGAAAGACTGGAGACTTTCTACAGTTCATTCCCTCCTCTGCAGCAGCAGCACAACTCTAAGAGTAAGTAACTACTGATATTGAGCTTGCTTATACTGTCTGTATCCACAATCTGTGGTTGCAAGATCCACGAGTTTGCTATCTGCTAATAAAAACATTCTTTAACAGTTTACTGTAGATATCTATTTTTCGTAACACATTATCCACCTGGATTTTGTGCAATGTCAGGTCTTGCTCTGCTATTGGAGGGGTTCCATTGATAATCTCACACACTCTCTAAATGCGTGAAAGAATCTGCATCAGCAATTGCTATCCCCTTTTTCTATTTTCTATGTATAGACTTTCTCATGATTTAAAAAGATCTGCTTTAAGTTTCCTCTGTCTCTTCTCATCACTCAGTTTACCTGTCAATCTTAAAGTTGGCATGGTATAATGGCTATGCAGAGAGAATAGCTTTCTCCTTAACAACTAAAGCATTGGTAATAATTCTTTATTATTATTGATATTGTTGCTGTTGTTTTATATTATATTGTTCATGTGTATTGCATGTGTACATGTGTATAGCTATAAGTATATCAGTTTCTCACCAAGCGGGGCACCATACAGGTATAGAAGAAAACTCTTCTTGATCACATACTAATGTTGCAGACAAAACAAACAAACCAACAAACCCTATGTTCCCTTTTCATGTAGATTTCCTTGACTGGTCTCACTATTGCTTTTTGTTTGTGCTAAGCCTGCACTCAAGCACTGATTTTTGTAAGAAGACTCAGTTAATACTTGTACATTTCATGTAATGAAAGTCTAATCAATTCAGTCGAGGTCAAAAGTCCTTTGGAGATCATGTGCCCACCTTCTTACCCTTCAAATTAACTTCAGAAAATAGTCAGCGCTTATAGAAATTTATATGACTCCACCTCTTTACGGACAAGTTTCCACAGATGTATCTTCTCCTTCCTGACATTTTCCATGGGATAAAAAGGGCTTAATCTAAAACAAAGGTAAATTCTTTTTACAGGTGTGTGAAGGATTAAATCATTTAATCGAGGTTATTCTATATCAGTAAGCAGCAGTCCACAAACATGCTGATACCAGCTATTTTTGCTTGTGCATTCCACTACCTGAATTCACAATGCAGCAGAACATACTGCTTAGTGGCTACCAGACACATACTTTCATATATGTATGTTGTTGAGTAGACATTGTATATTTTCACTTTGGTATATGTACATGCATCCATATATGTATGTGCACTGCTGTGCAGACAGTATATATTTTCACTCTTTTTTTTTCTTTCTTAGAGACAAGTCCAAAAGGTGCAGTAGAGCTGTGTTTACCTTCAGAAACTGGACGTACCTTGCACTTAGTACAGGACAGTGAAGGGTGGAGGTCTGCATCCAAAGCCAGACGAGGTGAACTGTTATTGATAAGATGTAATTCTTACTGTGACACCACTCATGAAAAAGCTGTTATGTCTCACAGGGGTAAAGTCTATCAGCAGTTTCCTATCTGTTGTCTTTAACTGACTAAACCTGGTGTTGTTCTGTAGGCAGGTCCATGGCTCTGCTGCGAAGACGGCTGTGTTTTTGATGGGCCATTCCGAAAGGGTTTGGAGCAGCGGACAGCCGCCTCAGCGCCCTGGCTGCGGGAGGGCCCAGCGGGCACACCGTGTGCACTGCCGTTTCTTTAACTGAAGACATCACCAGATGAAGGGCATTTTAAAGAAATTAAACTATGAAAGGCTTAAGCCTACATGATCTAACTCGGTGCAGACAGATATCGCTCCCTTGCCGAGTCTTTCTCCCTGCAGTTAAGCTGGAAACCGTGACTCGCGGCTGACGGGTGCGTTTCTCCCCAGCTCAGGGCGCAGCGTCAGCGTTATCTCCCACCTCCCCCCGCCCCAGGGGCCACCCCCGCCCGCAGGCCCGTCCGGCAGGCAGCGCAGAGCAAGGCAAGGCAGGGCAGGGCAGGGCCGGGCCGGGTCGGGTCGGGGGCCCCGCCGCGCCCCTGGGAAGGCGCTGCCCTGCGCTCTGCGCGAGGGAGGGCCGGGCTTCCCCAGTTCAGACAAGTTCTCGCCCCGCTTCTGCGGCGAGTTTTGGTGCGACACCGTCCTGACATGTTGTAACTGGTTTCCACACCCACCGCGCCTGAGAGCGACGGGAAGTACCTGCGGGGAGCCCTGCGCCGTCCTGACTCGCCGCGGCCGCGATCGCAGGAGCTGGGTCTCCCGCCGGGCCGGGAAGAGCCGGGAAGAGGCGAAGTCCCCCCGCGGGTCAGCGGCGCAGTAAGTGGCTCTCCGTCCGCCTCCCGCCGGGGCCGCTCGCCCCCCTCGGCCCGGCCGGTACGGGGCACCGGGCTGGGGCGGGCGGCCCTCGAGAAGGGCTCCCCCCGGTGGCGGGGCCGGGGCGGCGCTGAGGGGCGCTGAGGTGCCGCCGAGCCCCGGCGGGCGCTGCTGTCCGCCCCGAGGTGGCCGTAGGTGCCACACGTGCGGTGCCCCGAGGCTGGGGCGTGGCCGAGCACGTGGCGGTGCCCGCGGATGGTTCTTTTGCCTGAAAAGTGAATTCCAGCCTCAAAAGTGGAGGAGTGGGAACGTTTGCAGTGTTGTTTCTGTGTTTGGTTCTGTTGTTTGTTTTTGCTTGGATTCGGTGCAAGCGACGGTACGGTTGCCTGTTACCGCCTGGCGTTAGTAAATAGCGAGTGCCGTCGGTACGGTTCCTTAATGCCGCGTTTGGTGGAGGACGGATGCAGAACATCCAGTCGTCTCCAGGGCAGCAAGGTTCCTAGAACCCCAGAGACCACACGCGAAGGGGCTGGGACAAGAAATGTCCCTCTTGCAAGGTATAGAGATGGAAACTTTGCGTGGAAGCTGGCCAGGTGACTGGGGAAGGGGCTGAGGACGTCCCTATTGAGAGCACCATGGCCAGGGCCTTTCCGTGGACCAGTCGTGAGAGCCTGAGATCGGGGCTGCCCCAGAGTTACTGAATGGGAAATGTTTGAAATCCTATGAAAAATAGCTAGGCAGGGAAGTTTCTTGTCCTCAGCTCTAGCCTGGAAGGCTGTACTTTTGGAGCCACCCTAGAAAACTGTGTCATTTTCTGCAGAGGGAGTTTCTCATATATTGTTTTTGTGGAAGCTGGGATACTCTCCGTATCTTCCCATAAAAACACACGCTTGGTTTTCTTTCAGCTTTTCTTCTTGCTGGACTCCAGGTGGGTGACAGACAGGACTAGAAGTTAAGCTTCTTTCTCAGGGTATAAACAACACCTCTCCTGGTAGCATTTGTGGTCATGAGTCTTACAAAGCATAGGTGACATCTGCAAAGATGGGAGGGTGGCTGTTGTCAGGGTCCTGGAAGCCTCCAGAGAAGGGCCTCATTCAGCACAACTTTGCTGATAGAATTGTTTGCTCAAGGAGAATAAATCATGAGGAATCAAGTTGATTTTGCAGAAGTTAGATATGGTTGATAACTATATCAAAGCTTTCCTTTAGAGTTTTGCTTAAACCTCAATCTCTCATTCAATAAAGATATTGATTTCATAGATATATTTTCTACAAAATAGCTTCTTGCCTTCTGAGGAGGAAAATCCCTGCTTCAAGACTTCTTGTCAAATACACCTGACATTATAATTTTAATTTGAGAGTTTTCTTCTGTTTCTTCTCACGAATGCATCGCATGCTGGTGTCCTTACTTCAAAAAAGTGGAACTAGAATTATTTCACTTGTCTCACCTCCTCTGTGATTTATTTCCATGCTGACAGATTTAACATCTACTTCTTAAAGAAATATATGCAGCTTTAAACTTCTTTTATAAACAGCACTTGTAAATCAAAGATCAGTGTCAAATATGCTCCCTGTAAAATAGCTATTCCTGTTTGGAAGGTGTTGAGTGTAAGTTACTGTATTTGGTCCATGCAACAATTAATGGTCACAAATGTACACGCATGCAATCATTTCTGCATTATATATATGTAGATGTGCTCATAACATTAAATATTTTATATTGCACAACTCCACATACTAAATATAGTCCTGTTCCCTAGTGCTGTTGTCAAAGGGAGAGAAGAAGAGAAAGGGATTTAACCGAAGTTTTGAAATAAATGCTTGAATGTCTTTCTCAACAACATATATTGGCATCCAGTGACAAAACTACTAGGAGAATATCCATTCTAAAACAATAATGATTTCAAAAATATCTTTCAATTGCCTTAGTAAAAAAAAAGATTAATCCTTTAATGTCATGCTAAGACTGACTGTTTTCTAGCACTGTTTGGAGTGGTCCTTGTTCTGGAAGGTCCTATGAGAGGAGTATGTGAGGTGGTCAGTAAAGTTGCATCCATTACTATTGAGATTCTTCAGAACAACTCAGCCTAATAGCTGTGCACTTTGTACTCTTGGTAGTTTTTCATTCTTTGCCTAAAACTTCTTGAAAAGCTGTTCCACATGATTGCTTTTTATGGTATACCAATTTGAAGTTTTTATTTTTGCAGTATTTTCAGAGTTTGACCTTTGAAATAGTCTGTTTTGTCTGTGCTGCATGCTTGGTTGATCTGCCACACTACACCACAGTCTGTCATCTGCATCTGGGCAGCGTATGTGTGGAAATGGTATTGTTTCCATTTTATAATGTCGTATTTTTGCTTGCAAATGCAGTGTAGAATGAAGCCCTGAGTATCTGCCATAGGAATACATATAATTCTTGATCAGAGGAAAGCTATCAGATCCCTTTTACTTGCTGCTTTCCTGTTCACCATAAAGAGCTTCTCTGGAAGCTGTAGGAAACACTCCTTTCCCCCAGGCTCGAAAGCAATCCTATCTGGGAAGATCTATCCTGCTATTTGGCTGGGAGACAGGATTCAAATGGGATTATTTCTTATGACATGCTGGTGCCAGCCTCAGATCTGGATTATTCTTTCTTTGTCTTTTTTTAACCTTAGATTTCCCAAGATCCTCAGAAATCTTGGTTTAATTGAACATTTCATTGTACTTCAGAGTACCAATAAGGCATGGAAATTTTGATTTCCATTCCTAGGTTAATGCAGCAAACTTAAGTTTCCTTTCAAGAAGATTTAAACCATTCCCAGCGGACAATAGAAACGTTGTTAGCAAAAATATCTGAAAGGACTTGATATGAATAGAGAATTTTATTTATATGTCAGTAAATGAAACTCTGTATGACTCTTCCTATTATATTGCCATACTAATAATTAGGCTTACAAGGTAACCTAGCGTTAAGTTGCAAACAATACTTTGTATGTGCTTATCATAATTATTCTGGCTTCACTAGCTGTTCTTTCCTACTTCTGTTGTCTTTCTCCTAAGCTCCACATGATGCAAGGCTTGTGTCCTAGCCCTGAGAAATGAGGCACCACTACCATATATCATCATCTTTCTATTTCGCATGGCTGGTGATGCCATTCCTGTGACATTATTTTTTTTTTCCAGGTTTTCTGTCTGGTGCAGAAAATCATGCAGTGTAGGTTCTAGGCGAGTTGCAGGAATTCCTTAGAGTTGCACAGGCATGAGGGAAGGAATCTTGGTCAATTGTCCTGTCAGCCTTAAATCCAAAACTGACACAGCAGGAACCAAGCCTTTCAATCCTTGTTCAATGAAATAAAAAAGATGGTAAGAATGAATTTTTATACCATCAGCAATAAAGAGCTTACTTATTCTTGCTTATTAATAATGTTTCGGGGAAAAAAAAAGAAAAAAAAAAAAGGTGAGATTAAAGCAGCCGCTCCTTTTGGCAGAAGGAATGAGCAGGGTGGAAACTAGACATCAGATTGCTGAATCAGAGTTTGATCCCAGATGTGGGAGGGGACATCTTTCTGGAGTTCCTCATAAGTCGCTGAAATGAGGTAGGCTGTACCTGCTTAGGAGCAACAAATGGATTAGATCAGCATGGGAGAACAAACAGATAAGAAGTAGGAGCTGAATTACTGTAATTTCAAAGAAGCCAGAGAAAAGGTATGTGTTGCATCAAAAATTAGGAAATAATTGTTTTCTGAAGTGTTTCTCTCAACACTACTCTGTCAGTTGTTATTATAAAGAGACTTTTGAAACACTGCCTACAGTAGTGTACTGGAGTATACTTTGTGTATGTGTTACTGGTGCAGATATTCAGTGTTCTGCTGTCTTTTAAATAGAAGACTTTCACCAAATCATTTCACATGCTTCGTATTGCCTTAAGTGGAAGAGGCTCCTTAAGTAGCTTCCTAATAGTCATTTGGGAATATTCATCTCTGAGCATTTTCAAAACTCTTTGATGTTCTTAGAAGGTGTGAGAAAAAGGTGTCAGCAATATTATCAGAAAAGTATTTTGCATAATATCTGTGCGTGTGTCTGACTTAGACTGCTAGAACTATTCTGATTGTTGTCTTACTTTACTTTCCTCTCCTTCCAGGTATATTTCACCAACTCACAAATGGAAGTATAAGAGACTTTGTACAAAATATATGTGAAAATGGAGACCTCATCTTTACTATCATCCCTACATGATGAATGCAGATCAGACAACTTTATTGAGCCTCATTACAAGGAATGGTACCGAGTAGCTATTGATGCTCTAATTGAAGGAGGTTTAGAAGCCTACAAAGAATTTCTTTCGAAAGAGAGATGTTCAGAGTTCCTTGCAGATGAGGAAATTGATTATATTTTGAACAATGTTCATAAACTTCCCCAAAACACAGTTTATTCCTCTAACAATGCCATTGATGACACCTCTTCCTCGGGAACCTACTGGCCTATTGAATCAGATGTGGAAGCTCCAAATCTTGACTTAGGTTGGCCCTACCTGATGCCTGGAATTTCTGGTGGCACAAATATCGATCTGCTTTTTCATCCCCCACGAGCACAGCCTTACACCATAAAGGAAACTATTCGGAAGATGATAAGAGATGCAAGAAAGGTAAACATGAAAAATGCTGGGGAAAAAAAAAGTATCAATTATCTAGTTGGTGTTTTATCAGGAGCTTTTTTCCTCCCTTGGCAAGAAAAAAATTATCTGGCTGCTTACAATTTAACCTCATTTACAAGGGATCAGGGATTAGTTGAAGGAATTAATGAAGCATTATGACTATTTTACTGTATTGCTGACCATTAATCCATGTGAAATTTTTGGTAATCAGCATACCATTGCTTTGACCTCACTTGAATATGCCTCAAATGACACAGATCTATCCAACTGCAGGGTATAATCCTAAGGTTTCTGTCCTTCATCAGTTGGGAATATATTCAATGGGAACATGCATCAGTTTGGCATGCTATCCTGTTGTTAGAAAAAAATAACATCTGTATGTACATTGTACTCATGCACCTTATGATTCTCAGCTTTTGTGATTTTGTGATTTTGCATGCCCATTATCACCATGAAAGTTAATTGGGAAGGTATCAGAGAGTATTAAGAGTATTACTTCTCCGAATGTACTTGTCTCTGCTTAGGGACTTTTGCATCTTGAGTTTCCTAAGAGTCACATTGAGAAGATGGTGCTGTGTATGTACAATGCATGTGCCTCTTGCTTCCTAGCATTATGTTTAACAAAAATAAAAATAAAAAGTAGATCTATAATTAAGGTGTTGAGGTGGACTCTGGGCCATGTTACCTCCTGAAACAGATGTTTCAGAAGTATTCCTAGCAAGTATACCATGCCCTCCTTTCTTCCCCATGGAAAAGGTTTATTTTTGCTCTGTGACGGCTTTAAATCTGTAGGACATCCAAGTCAAGTACCTCTGTAAACACTATTGTGACTTAAATATGCATGTAAGTGGGTGCAATAGAAGTGAATTGAAAAGGGTGTGTGGAAGGGAAGGATGTCTTTTTATGAGGTCTCTCTATTTAGATAAAGCATATAATTTGTTGCTACAATAGACTTATCACTAGACCATTTGTCATGCAATTTACAGCCTTGAATTATCGTCTGTTCTCAACACAAGGAAGAGAATTCTTTTGTTTTTTTTTTTCCCCTTTGTCCCTTTTAAATTGACAGTTGTTGTTTTCTTCTTTTGGATGCAGTAGGACTTGGCTTGGTTGGCATACTTTGATCTTTTTCAACTGCTGCTCCAGAGCTACTAATGTATCTGCTGAAAGGTAAAGAAGGAAAACAGAGTTAAGTCTGTTGCCAAGGCCAGCTCAGATTTGTGAGATCCCGAAACATCATGAGGAAATACTGTTTCCAGTCCTTTTCTACTTCTGCTTAGCTATTTTGTTTATATGCCATCCAGGCCCTCTCCAATGACTCTCAAGAGCTGTCTAGTTAAATGTCTTTTTAGGGAGTTTGTCTACTCTGAATTTGGCTTGGCAGAAAAGTAAGTGTGATTCTTACCTCTTTTTGAAAAGGAAGTTTATTCTATATTACTTTAGCTCACTCATAAGGCTGTGTCATTCTCATGTTACAAAGAGGATATGATGTATGTGTCACTGCCAAATGAGACAGCTGAAAGGCTTGTGTAGTTGATCAGTACAACCTCAGGAGCAGCAATCATAACACTGTTGACACAGCGATCGATACAGGTTGGTTAGTTTAGGAAGCAGCAGTTAAATCTAAAAGATAGAGGGTTGTTCAGCCTCTTCTGTGATATGTGTGGAAAAGTTTAAAGGATTTCTAAGTGAGATAAAGTAAGGTATTTAAAGCATGCCTACAGCAGGCAAACACTTTGTAAACAGGCTAACCCACTTCTCCTAAGCCATGTATAAAAATATAGTTATATTAAACAGAGTTCTGTGTTACGTACTAGTGGAGACATGTTGTCATATGATAATTTTCAAAGGAAGTTAAAAATGTCACACATGAGAAAAGAAACCTGTACAGAATAAAAAGGTTATTCAGCAAATCACATTAAACCAATACAGCTCTAAGCAAATTTGATGGGCATTTCAGCATTTTCCCAATTTCAGTGGGAAAATAAACAGACTGTTAAGATGAGAGTATTCATACCACTAAAACTTTATGCACCACACCTGTGTACCTGAGTTCAGGCATTGATTTCCTGGACTACCTGAACACTCAGTACAGTGAGAAACCAACTCCTACGTGGACAAGTCAGAGAATGCTTCTGCAGTGATCCACCCAATAAAGAAAACTATTCAACATATTTGTATGTGTTTACTAGCCCAAGAATTCATAACTGAGACTAAACTAGTTGAAACGTGCACTCTTTTGAATATTTGGAGATATATAAGGATAAGATGACATTATTAGTGGACTTACTCTTGACCTCTTTCATGCTTGATGCATCACAGTGTCACTCCTTAAAATGATTATTACTTATGTTAATTCTGACCTTAAGAAGACATGTTGTAAACAACGTTAGGCAACTTGCTTGCTGACAGCAATTTTTTCCTGACTAAAGAGGAAAACCATATGTAAGGCTATGCTACACTGTACTAAAAACTGACTGTGAAATAGTGTCGTAAGAAAATCTTGTCACACACTTCTTAGATGTATGATCTGTAGAAAAATTATGCACATCATCTTCATGCTAAATTCAGTCAATATAACAATGGAGTCTCATATCAATGGACTGCATACTTGTGATATATGTTTCTGAACAAAGATTAGAATTTGTTGTACAGAAGATGACATTACATCACAGTCTACAGTACTTCTGTAGGATAGCTATGCTGTCAGAGCGAGGTTAGCAGAATGCCTCAGGTCAAACCGACTTGCCAACAAAGTGGGTTTACTGTTAGTGTAACTAGACCTCATCTTCAAATGATACAGCTTGCCAACCCTGCTCCTCTGTTGACATAACTGATGTTCATGCAAGGAGGCTGTTTGGCAGGACTATGTCAGTTCACGAACCATGAATCTTTTTCAGATGTTGATGTAACCGTGTGGGGAAGAAAGCGCTGCGAGGTCTGTCTGACCTTAATGGCGGACTTTGCAAACAAGCTGGTAGCCTTATTCCTTGTGTTTTGGAAGGTTGTGCCTTTAATCACTGGTAGGTTTCTAGCTTCTCGGAAGCTTGAGGTGTTCGTACAGCCTGACTCATCCCAGCTGAGCTGTCTGAACCACAACTGATAATGTTTAGCAGTTTTTCCTGACAAGATTATTCATCTGAGAAATGGTATCAAGATGATTACTTATCTTTGTCAATCTTCCTCCTCTTAATATAAAGTAACACAGAGATTTCAATAATGAAGTGTTCTTCCCCTGTATGACTTTTCATGAGTTGCCTCAAAACTATAAGCTGTGAAGCTTGCACATGGGTTTTACAAACATCTTGTACTGTTTTCTCAAGCATGATTGACAGGGCAAGGGAACAGGGAAAGGGCAGGACATAGCAGCGAAGGGTCCTTCTGGATGCATGTTTTTCTTTCACTTCGTTAACTGGATTCCCCTTTCCACCACTGAAACATTCCTACATACCATAGAGAGAATGCATAGTTCTGAGTCTTTTAGATTGATATCCAAATAAAGATCAACTCTTCCTGGAGAGAATTCAAACCTGTTTTGTTAAGAATCATGTTGTTTAGACAACCCAAGGATTACTGCTTTGCAACACAAGCCAGAAAACACTGAAAGACTTCCTTGAAATACTTTTGGGATTCCTGATGGAATGTATTAAGTTGCAGGCTATCCAGTTAATATGCCACACTTTGCACTGATTTATTTTATTCAAATAGCATAGCATCTTCAACCTGGATTCATAAAATCAGCAATAATTGTAAGACTTTTTAAAAAGTTATTTCTTAAGAAGATTGAGATCTAGATGGTTAATGTATGATTATTTTGGAAAATTGAAGAGAGGCAAGTGTTTCTACTGAAATTGGGTTTTTTAATGTTTACAAAACTTGAAGCCATGAGAAAGAATTAATTTATAGTGTAAAAGGGTGTAACCTGTTATTAAGTCTTGCTGGACCACCTGTATGTAGGCCTTTAGTAAGTTACAGAGGACTTTTTTGAGTTCTTGTAAGAGAACTATTGTATGAAGTCTAAGTATCATTTCTGTCTTGTCTTGCAGAGTCCTGGCCTAAGTCAAGTAAATAAAAACAGTTGGCTCTTTTTACATCTGTGGAAAAAGGAAATTAATTTCTTCTGATTTCTTTTTTTCCCCAGTTTGTTTGATTTGTTTTCATACTTTAAGGCATGAGCAAGAGGATGTGCATAACAGAAAAAAATGATCATATGGTATTGATCTCCTTGTTTGGATATCTGCATAGATATGCATAGAAATAATGATCTAGTACTAGCTGTATACAAATATGAGAGAAAACCAGGCTCTTTATGTGCTTATATGAAGAGTGATGCCTCCATGCAGAAAGAAACTTGTAGAATATGGGTGTGGAAGACTGTTAAGCAATCATTTTTACTCTCAACAATACTCTTTGCCAACTATTTTAAATATAATTTGAACAGAGATTGGAACAATGATAGTGAATTATGCTTGCAGCAGTGCTTATCTTAGCTCATTAACTACAGCAGTCCAAGTAGATGAGAGAGAGGGGCTACAATTTATTGTTCATAAACTGAAAAAATTACTGAATCCCAGGAGAAAGGTTGGTAAATGAAATAGTCATCCCACTGAAAAAAAAAAATTATGCTATTTCTAGAGTCCCTGATAAACGATGGATATATTTTTTAAGTTTTCAGTTGAAGATGTCTGAACAAAATTTTCTTTGCTAAGATATGCTACTAAACAAGGACTTCAGCAGGTGTTTTAGTACCAGCTACATTTAAAAAGTGCATTTATCATCTGCTTCTGCCCACCTTTGGGTTCCTGGTATTTGCAGACCAGCATGGCAGTCATGCGTATATTTTCCAGGTGAAACATGATGTTAGCCTTTTGTAGATTCATTAGAGAGAATAAGGTTGTGTCCCAGTTTTTCTAATCACATAGGGGACATGCAGCACACTGGACGAGGATGTGTTGTTTGTGTTCCTACTGTATGATTTGGTGTTTGTTCTT